CGCCACCGGTGAAGACGGTTTGGTGCAATCAGAAGTAGCTGTAGTGGTGGTGGTACCGGCGGTTATCTCCTTGTAGAGCTCTTGCATGACCTTCTCAATCAACTCTTCTTTAATGGGAATCTCCGGCAAGAGCTCGTCAATGAGCTCCGGCAACTTTCCGGCGATCTGGACGGAGATGGCAGACTCCGGCGGAGGAGACTTTGGGGCAGCTGCTTCCATGCGCTGGGACTCTGATGAGAGAGAGCAGAGTGTGTGAGAGTAAAACAGAGGAGAGAGCAGAGTGTGTGTGTGTGTGTGAAAAAGCGTAGACAAGTGGATTATAAATGGGGGAGTAAAGCATGTGCCACGCTGGCAGGACTGTGCCACGTAGGAAGACGTGGACCCGAGGTAATGACTTGACGTGAGCGTATTTATGTCCTAACGGATCCTTTTCGGATTCTTTTGATGAGAATCTAAAGATTTGTAATTTATATATTTTTATTGTACATCGATTTCAGTTTTTATCAAGTACTTATTTATATTTATTTTTAAATAAAAATATTTAAAATAATTTATGATCATATAATATACACAAACACAATTACGAATATCCGAAATCCTCAAAAAAAAATTTGACAATACTCTGGACTCAGTTATGTCGGGTGAAGTCGTAGCTGAAACTGAGGAACCGGAGTCAGATTTGGGAGATGGAGAAGGACTCGTGATTCTGTGCGGTTGACATGTATCACTTGTCCTCTGTACGACCGTTGATTTTCTCTTGACCTTTTTTGTAAACGGATCCGACGGTCCGTGTTTGGGGTAGTTGGACGACTTCAAACAGTGGTGGTGGATGTCGTATAGAAGGGACAAGCCTTTCCAAAGTGGATGAGATTGTCATTTCTCACAAAAAAACTTCAATAGGGCAACCAATTGATTATGTCATTCTCACAAGAAGTGAAAAAGTGTGCATTGAGATTGTATTTACATAGGGTCAGATGATAACCAATTGTAGAGGCACGTTACCTTTGGGAGTGATCATCAAGCTGATCAAGCTGTCACAGTCGTGATATCAGTCGCACGACTGTGGGGGTTATTCTCGACAATTATGCTTGTGAAACTAAAGCGCGATAGTGGAGGTGATTATAATCATTCATAATTATGAGACTCACAAAGCAAGAACAACCAAGATTAATCACGCGAACAACTGATCCTAACATTCCTCGTGTTCTAATGTTATAGCTAGAGTTCGGTTTTTGAGAGAAAATGGTATCATTTCAAGTTTCCATGACAAAATCAATAGTGTCAACTTCTATATGTTAAAAAATAGAACCTGGACAAAGTTACAGGACAATTGCAACACCAACATATCAGTCTTCAAATCCATGTCTTCTGCACAAATTTAGCACTGGTATATTCATGTATTTCTTGTATTACTGGTATTGTACATATTCAGTGGAATCGAAGATTACATTTAGATTTGCCTAAGTCGAAGCGGGCTAGGAAAAATGCTCAGTTTATAATACGTCACTTGTACAACAAGAACCGATGAATGGATAAATACTTTGAGAGCAAGTTCTCCATAGCTGGCTCCAGACGACTTCATTTTATCTTCTAAGAAACGAGATTCTGTCAATGGAGCCAACTGATCTTCCTCTATTACCGGCATTGGAGGGCACTGTGCCATAGTTCATTATCTGTCATCAGGAAGCAGAGTCGGACTTTTGGAGCACATTCTCATCGCATGAAGCTCTTTCAGCCTAATAGCTGGGTTGCACAAACCTACAAGTTTTCAAGAATTTTTTCACATCACTGCATCTTACCGATAAACACCCTTTTCAAAACACTCCTATGTTGACTAATTCAACACAGTACACGTAGAAGAAGCCAGGTGGTCTGTTCAAAACTAGCAGACGTTAATATTTGAACAATCAAATTATTTGGTAAACAAGACATTTAGTGCTTTTCATTCGCTATATCCAAGATTCGAGTCTGGTATTTCTTATCACAAACGCCCCAGATCAAGAGATCTAGGTAAAGTTTCCTTGTAAGGAAAGTACTGGCCAATAATCCTGTTTAAAGAGCATTCGAGAGATTACTTCACATATCACATTATATTTTTTCAAAGGTTTAAGTATTATATTAATCTATGACTCAACAAATGCAAGCCAAAGGGTATGGACTATATTCGACGGAAAGAAGGTCATCCTCACCAAACTTGAAAATGTTTTATTCTTGAACAATATGGTTGCATCGCTTTACCATAAGAAGAATTAGTGCACCAGTTTTCTCATTAAAGGATAACATAAGCCTCTGTCTATGTACATGATCATACCAGAAATCAACAATTGGTCTTTCAAATTTACAGTATAACTAGGAGGATTTTTTTTTTTTTTTTTTTTTTAAATATCTGTGACTGTAACGATATGATCTGTTGGATAAAGTACCTGAACATTTTGGGATGTCCCAGACTGCAACGGATGTAGGTGTGCAGCGAGGGTCACATAATGCCCGATTATCCTCGTGATTGACATTCATAGCAAGCATCCATGATCCAACCGTGACGTCCTCATTGCTAAACATTCTCAAACTGAACGACAGGCAATACATCTATCAAACAAAGGGACAGTCCATAGGGGATGAGAAGCTAAAACTAAAGCCTAAGCCATATTTCCCACGAGGGTTCTAAATATCAATATATAATTTTTTTTGAAACGAGGCAAAGACTGACATAAAGAAAACACGAATAAAAACAAGTGGCTGACCTGCTATTTCTAGCGACTGCCAATGATGCTACCACCTCTGCAGACAGAACATAAATAGGACCAAAAGCATGCTGAAAGTATTCATTCCCGATTAGATGTCCTGATTTCTCATACCTGAACGGACATAATTGATGAATAACAGACGGATGGATTATTACAAAAAATATGTAAACCAAGCACAAAGGTAAACACTCTGGGATAACAAGTTGGAAACCAACATTGAACAAACCATTTCATTTTAGGGTCAGTGACTACTGGTCCTTTCTTCATGCATCCAATGTAGGTTTGTGGATGCGTTCGTTCCTTGGCTAGAAGTGTTGCTAGTCGATCTGGAAAATTATGGAAACATCTGTAAATTCCAATGTATTCATATTCACGGCTTCATGACAGCATATAGTCATGGCAATATAATATACCTGGACGCAAATAAATGTCATCATTGGCTTTGACATAGTAATCTGCTTCGAAAAGTTGAAATCCTGCTTTGAAAAATGCCAACCTGCGAAACAGCGTGAGAAAGCAATATGACATGAACTGCCAAGAACACAAATCCATCATCAACGTGACAAAAACTTCAGTAAAAACCGACAAATCTTACGTTTTCCATGGACGGTTTGAATATTCTTCATTGATATCAGTAACCAAAAAGTCCCTGTACTTATCGATCTCTTTCTGAAGCTCTGCCATCTTCTTTGAGTCTTTCGATCGCCCAATAACGAACCTAAATGCTAAACCAGTAGCTTGTTCCAACCTACAAGGTAAAGGCATAAATTTACTCTCCCAATAAAAGGAGCTAAAGGACATTTCAATCAGAGCCAGATTGTTGATCTTAATCTTAGTTAAGCTAATGAAAATCATTAAGTTAATCAAGATCAACCTCAGCAATTGATCATACAAAACCCAAAAGTGATATCAAACAAGTGGACATAAACTACAAATTTAGTAACTTGACAACATTCGATCGAAACCAACATCAGATTAACTGTAAAATTTAGTAACTTTACTGCAAAAAACTGAAATTTACCTCAAAAGGCCATCTGGGTCGGAAGGAAACCAAGTGTTCCGCAACGCTGAACGGCGATCGGCCGAGCCGAACCCGGTCTGAATTCCGACGAGCCCAAGAAGCTTGGGCCGATCAACCAAGCCACCATTTTTATCACCGGCCTGCCGAGACTTAGACAGAGAGTAAAACCCCCGGAAAGTGTCGTCCGATTTGCCGCATCGGAAAATGGGAATGGGGGTCGAGCGGCGGAAGGCGGCGATGGCGAAGATGGTTCCGGCAAGGCCGATGAAGAGGGAGACGAGTGAAAAGACGATAATGGGCAGGGAAGCGCGCGTGGGGACAGGGGCAGGATGGGGCTTTAGGGGCTTGAGGAGCTTGGAGGAGTAGGAGGAGGAGGTGGCGGTGTCGGGGGGGAGAGAAGATTGGCGGTGGAAAAAGAGTGGCATTTTAATCACTTGAAACAGTTCGTGAGTGAGGTTTCCTAGATCTCAGGGTCAGACTCAGAAGGTGAAGAGTGAGACTCAAGTCTCATCTATTCGGTTGCATAGTCTCAAACTTTGGGTGAGTTTAAAGAAATTTGAGGTTGGAAGTTACCATTCAAGTCCCTTTCAGTTTCACTTTGCTTTCTTTCTTTTTGGGGTTTTTTTCATTTACTTTTCTTTCTATCAGTTTTGGTTTTTCATTGCCAACTCCAATTGGTTTTCCATTTTTCAGCTTCTTCTTCCAGTGTTCTCCGTGCAAGACGGTTGTTTTTTCTGTTGATGATGTATCAATGACATATATCATTCACATGAATTCTCAGTGCAAAATGTCTTTTTACAAAATACAAGCTTAACTTGATATTCTTGATGATGTATCAATGACATAATAGAATCGACATGTTATTGATACGAGTTGTACGTATCACACGAAGCATAATTAAAAACCGTCTAAAAATCATAGATACACAAATTTGTGAATACTAAGTTTTCATCAATTCTAGCAATTGTGATTTGTAAATTTATCTTAGCCAATTTTCTAAAGTTAATTAATTAAAAACAAGATAAGTTAAATTGTTTTAAGAATCATTAGATTAGTGAATATAGTTTGGACTGAAAATTAAATAAATAGAATCAATTTTCAATTATAGATGGTGGCCTAGTGGTGGGACAAATTTTAGACTTGTATTTGACACGACACATTCTAGGTTCGACCCCTGGCATTGATGAATCACACGATGATGGATAGGCTAAAATGTTTTTGTGAGTCTTCTCAGCTCCGAGAGGGTGGAGAAGAATTGCATTAGAGACACTTTGTTTAGTTTTCTTGTTTTTGAGAAAGGTAATGGAGATTCTATATTACATTTGAGCCATAACAATCCGAAAGACTACAACTAATCTACAAGCATGTAAGAAAATCCCGCTCTTAATCTCTCACCTCTCTTCCCTATCACATAAACCAAGTGGAAAGAATTTCAATTTCACTTGGATTATTAAAACATTAACCAAGCAAAAAACAAAGAAACTAATTAAGCCCAAATTGCAAGTAATGACATCAATCCAGCTCCAACAAAGAGACAGCAATAAGATACAACTTGGAGCCTGAAATCGCAGCTCATCCTCTTACTTAGAAAATCAGCAGCAATTAGGTCAACCAAGGCCATGTACACTAGAATTCCGGCTGACATGGAATCCAAGATGCCTTCTGCGACCAAAGCTCCCGGACTGTACGGGTTGTAGAACGAGGAAATGGCAGTCCCCACGCCTATCCCGAGCGGAGTTGTGACGGCAAAAAAGCAGGCCATTAGGGTTGCTGATAGGGTCTTGAATTGTGCTTGAGATATGCAGCCTCCGAGTGCAAAACCTTCAAAGAACTGATGGAATGACAATGCTGCAACCAAGGGTCTGATGGTGCATGGGCTCTCTGAAACTCCTAGTGATAAGCCTATGATCACTGAATGTGATACAATCCCAAGTTCCAAAATCTGCACAAAAAACAACATATTTAACACCTCTATACTAACAAACCGCCCACAAGCATGAATGTCCAGATCAGTCAACGAGCGCGACTGATCCTAATGTTTGATAAACAAGGTGAAATTTCAATAAATCGTACTCCAAGATAGTATGACGATATAATATTTCATATATATATATATATGTTTAGTAATTTAGCACATGCTACTTGAAACAAAACTTTTGTTCTTAATATTAGAGACAACAGAGGAAACAAATTAAAACCCACACCAGACAATTCCAGTCTCAACTACCCATACCCTTCCACATGGATGCCATCAGCATGAAAAAGTTTAAGAGGTTTAATCAACTTAATGGGATTAACTTTTAAATTCGAGATGCCGTTCTTATTTTTATTATTTCGTTTTCTTTTTTGAGCTTTCATGCTTTTAATAAAGGAAATTGTTAAGATTAATTGCACATACGCGTGGACATTTATTACTAAGATTAGCTTAGTATGTGCGATTTGATTCATGGCCCTTAAATGAGAGAGAGAGAGAGAGAGAGAGAGAGAGAGAGAGAGAGAGAGAGAACTTGCCCAAATCAATCCAAATAGTGAATGTGTCACCATAACCACAAAGGTTAATACCTTTCGGTTCATGTTTTGAGTCTTTGACCTCCAAGAACACCATTATCATGAGTAGGCCCGACCTAGATTAGTAGAAAGTTTAACATGACACATGGCAAAATGACACATAACGTTTACAAAAATTGTTTTTGTTCATCACACTCAAGTTTACCATCCTATTTATTACCATTTAATAAGTTTAAATTTTAAAATCTATACAGTAAATAAATACAAATCTTAAAATTAAACTGAGACTCGAGCATGGCGAGCAAAAATACAGTTGCCCTTACTGTGCGAAGTAGACAAGCGAAACTCCCTAAGCCACACAAGTTAGAGAAGCTACATTGTTTTGAGCGCCACACTTTAAAGAGCAATAATTTACGCGCAAACAACAAATGTAAAGGCGGTAAAATAAATATAAAACCGAATAAATAAAAAGTACCTGGGAAACGACGACGTGCCGAACACCACCATCCTCGTCATCATCCCCGAACCCGTGAGAGTGCCCGTGCCCGTGTCCGTGCGAATCGTGCCCGTGGCCCTGTTCGGGTTCCCTCTTCACGTGTCCATCACATGCTGCCTGCCCATGCGCGTGGCTGTGTCTGTGGTGCGCCGCGTGCGCATGCATCCCCACAATGTGCATCCCACCGCCTTCCTCTTCCCCAAACACCTTCCCATTCCACTCCTTCGCCGGCTGCACCGGATCCACACTCGCCACAATCTCCGGGTCATCCGACCCGACGCGCACCTGGTCCTCGGCGGGCCGTGCCTTCCTCTGTTTCTTCTCGTAATACTGGGTCCCAACAAAGTCAACGAGCAACGTGGCAAGCGAGGCCATCATGGCGAAAAAACCGGAGAAGGGGAACTTGGTCCAGGGGAATTCAGGTAGGCAGGGGTTGTTGAGGGCGTCTGACCCGCCCGAAAGCATGTGGACGAACCCGGTGGCAAGAATTACGCCGGCGGCGAAGGCCTTGGCGGCGACGAAGAGGCTGCCGTCGGTGCGAAGAAAGCTGCTGTTCCTACCGACGAGGGGAATTGCGACTCCGACGACTCCTGCGACGAGAATCGAGGCAACGGCGATTAGCTTGAGGACGAGCGCCGCTGACTCGTCACGGCAGGCCTCGAGCTCCGCGCTCTCGCAGCTCGTGTTGGACATGGACTGCAAAAGGGACTCTGTTTTGAGCAACAGAATTGCAAAAACAAAACAGATTTTAGAAAATCGAGACTTGCTCTTGTTCTTTAATTTGTTAATTAGGGTTTAATCTTAATTTTAATTCGATTGCAGAAATCCCAAATGGGCTTTTCGGAGTGGGAGATGGAATTAATTAGTAATTACCTTTGAAAAGCCGAGACTTTTCCAGGAATCCTGGAGGGCAGAGCAAGGGCCACAGATCCTACACAAAAACGCAGCGTTTGAATCAGAGAATTGCAGAGAAACGGGGAAATCGAGAGAGAGAGAGAGAGAACCTCAATGAACAACATGGGAATAGTAGTATGTGGGTTTTGTTTTTCTGGGTTTTATAAAAGATAGAATCTTGTGAAAACTGATGATCTGATTGCCGAGCACGAATCCCGATAGAGTTGATTTCTTTCGATCAGACGAGGAGACGAGTTCGGTCATGGCATGTTGGGAGAGAGAGAGATATATACAATAATACAAATATTACAGAGAGAGGAGGTGGAGGGAGAGAGAGTGTGTCGTCACTTTTGGACGAAAGGGAGGGAGCGCGAGAGAGGTGGAGGGGTTGGGGTCGCGACTTCGTGCTAAAGTACGAGCGCGCGGGAGAGTGTCGACATTTATCGCACATTTTTGGAAGGTAAAAGTAACTTAAAAAGATGGTGAGTTGCTATATATGGATGAGTGTGAGATGATTCGTGAACGTTTTAGGCTTGTGGGGAAAACAGGTTCCGGCTTGTGTCTTTATGGAGACTTACTTGTTATTTCAGTTATGATTTATAAACTTTTATCATATAAATATCATAATTAGAATCGTTCACTTGTTATTCTGCTTACAATTTATGAATTCTTATTATACGAGTATGATAACCAGAATCGTTCATTTTCTTTATTATCATCTAAATATGATATATGCAAAAAATAACTCAATTTGAAGATCTTTAGCTATTAATATGCACAAAACAGATAAATGGTTCATCATAAGAAAGGTACTTGTTATCAAGACTGTTAATTGGTTTGTCATGTACTGATCTTTAAATTGAATGATTTTTTGCTGATATAATTTTTAAATAATGATAAAGATAATAAACAGTTTTGATTATAATGCTCGAATGATAAAGTGTTTTGTCACTTTTTTGTTTAGGACTACATTATTAAACAATTTTGGGCTCTTTTCCTGCCCGTATTCTGTGTGTCATTGGAGTCACATTTTTTCTCTGAGTCAAAACCTTTAGAGGTTTTATGATCAAACTTACTTTGTTGCTAGGTTCAATATCTAATTATAACTGCTCGCTAATTATGTAGCCTAAGTTTATATCTCTCACTGGTAAGCATAGAATACTGTTTTATGTACAAAACGACTTTGTTTTGCTTGAATTTTTATTTTGAGTTTTGTGTTTGGAACTTACCAGTTACCAACTTAGACGAAAAAAATTCTTTGTTACATATGCACATTAGCTTTCAAATTACACAAGACTAATTGTGAATTTGAGAGTCTCGATACAAAGTATATTCAAGCATTAGAAAGGTGTTACAAATAAAGTCTGAAAATTCATAAATTTCGGGTGAAGTCAATCAAAAATTTAAAACTGTCTAACATCTAAGTGTATTCAATCACAAATTTGTGAGATTTTTCAGTGTGCTCAGGACATAGGGCGGAACATCACATGTTATTATAAAATTGAAGGAATTTTTTTTTTTTTTCAAATGTCCCTTCAATTGTATAAATGTATAATGATATGTATTGTCCTGCTCTGTGTCTGGACGTTAAAAAGTTTTGTTTTTTTTAGTAAATATTTGAAAAGGATTTTAAATGTTATGAATTTTGGTAGATTTTTAAAAGCATCCTTCACCTACTTACCTTGATATTTGGTGAGAATTGACTTAAATTTATAACTCCATGAAATCTTTTAAAATTTCAATTTAATACAGCTTATGTAATAATCTTGCTAGTGTCTCGTATTTAGCATGTAAGTTCCACTTCCACACGTAAAAAATTGGTAATGAGTTAATGAAAGCAATTTAGACGTAAAAGATTCGTAAAACATGATTAAGTTAATGATTTTTTGGGCCAACTATATCCGAGTAGGGCGATGATCACGAACCTTCATTCATACCAGAACAAATTCGTAATCATATTTAAGGTGTTGGTAATTTCCGCTAAAACAAATATTAACTCAATCATAATAATAATATATCGAATCGACAAATTCGTAATCTATGTCAGTGTAATTTGAGTTTTTTTTTAAGGGATTGTTATATTTTAGGGCTTCAATAAGATTGTTTTTAGATTTTAACCTGAATGGTTTTCAAAATCCAATATTAACCCCTATTTTTAAAGCTGACCATATTTAAGTAATTATAACACATTTCTTTTTTTTTTTTTAACTTACCATTCGAAACTCTTTACCCATCCATAATTAATGTTTTGTTTGGTGCTCCAATCATATTAATATATACAAATTTATTCAAAATTCAAATTCTTATTATTAAAAAAATTCAACAACAAAACAAAAACAATTTATACATAACTTTCGGTACCTTATTTTATTCATAGGTACGGAAGTATCTGTATGAAGATATCGGTACAGTACTATTAACTTTAGGTACCTTATTTTACTCATAGGTACAGAAGTATCGGTTCGTAAGTTTCGATACGAATGTATCGGTACATCATTTTCGGTACGAATGTATCGGTACTTAATTATTGTATCTAAACATGTGTATGTACATACATATATGCATATACATATATAAGGACAAAATCACGCACACTAAAAAATATATGATTTTTCTTATTACGGGAACTTAGTAATAACTATTAATGATAAATAACATTTTTATTATTTATGGGAATGAATATATAACCTACAAACAAAAAACTCAATAATTATTCCAACCTATTCAATATTAAATTACAATTAAATGCCAAGAATTAGAATTAGTTTTTAATTTTAAACATAGTTTTATTCGAAAAGTAATCTTAGATAATGATTAGAATAGATTTTTTTTCATTTTTTAATAACAAAGAGGAAAAATCTGAAACCGTAATGTCAATGACAAAATTTATTAAACTTTAGAATACCTCGCCATTTCGAAATGGAGCCCACATGTCATAGACTTTTACTAATAATTTAGATGCCACTTCGGCGAATCGGGTTGTATACATAAGTCACACACTGATATCATGTATTGTTTATATAAGATTGACTTTACATGCTACCACAGTAACGTTCTGAAAGTTTTTGTTCCTACCTACCGACCTTCTTTTGTTCACGTTACCACCACTTCTACAAAGTATTGATGACATAATCATGATCGCATGCGCGACTTCCTCATTCGGTGTGGGGATAATCTTGAGATGGACAACTACAAGGTGGGCTAAAAGCTGACGCAGGACTTTGGTACGTACGTGATGCCCCCATTATTTATTCTCTGATCTTCCTTTTTCGTGCTGTCCCATGCAGATGGAGTTTGAGATTGGTAATCTTCGTTGTCAGCAAATTTGAGGTTTGAAGATGTTGAAGATCGAAGCGACTGCAGGAGTTGTCAATCCCACGAATATAGATTCTCGGCTGAGGTCAAGACCACATCTGCATAGCTACTAGTACTGCAATTTACTCCGGTCCAAGAACAGTAGTCATACTTGCATTCCAAGTAATAAGCTTGGTGGAAGCAGAAGAATGAAGGTAAGGGTTTGCTTCAAGTGGAGCATGTTAACCTATGAACCACCAATTAGATTAAGCTACTAGAATCACAATTAGCAAAACTCAGAACCTTATTACATACAAGAATTTGTAATGTATTAACCTGAAGAAATTCCACTCGATGAAGCCATGTATGTTGCAAACCAAAACCTGTACGCTGTGAACCTTCTCCTCTCTGTCAGATTGCCTTTTGCTCAAACTAAGAATATGGCTGAGTTCCAAATAAGAACGTTAATATGTGAGAGCAGAAGCCAACCTAGACACACACATACACACAATCCTCTCATGACATAATAAGGACTTCCTATTAGAATCCAAATGAAAAACAACCTATGTTTTTCCATCACATATCAGTTTCAATCGAATCTTTTATAAACAAGAATTCAGCTTGCCAAGTCCAACAAGGCTTCCTTATACTTATTGGATTTCAACAGACAATACCGAAACATGAAAAACAACCTATGTTTTTCCATCACATATCAGTTTCAATCGAATCTTTTATAAACAAGAATTCAGCTTGCCAAGTCCAATAAGGCTTCCTTATACTTATTGGATTTCAACAGACAATACCAAAACATCCAATCTCATGTTCATGCTCTTACATTCTCCCATTTGAATATCAGATCAATTTCAGACATTGCCTTACCAATTTTAAGGAGTGATCGCATAACCTAATTAAAAACTCAATATCATGACTAATGTACCAGTGCATCTCAAAGAACAAAAACTAAGAATTATGAACTACAAACAAGAGGTAGTATTAATTCAGAGCTCAAATGTATCCACTCTGCAATTTATAACTCATGATTCAAACTTGATATGGCTAAGTAAATTAACAAACTTGCTCCCACTTGTCAAAACATTAATCACCAAAGAGAGCAACATATTCATCAAAAGAACAATTCATAACTAAAACTTTAAAATAGACAAATAGTTTTCCAAAGTATCAATTGAAACCAATTCACAATCTAATCTGTCTTCGAAAACCACAAAACCTCAAAAGATTGAAGTAATGAGCCTTGAGACATTTATTGAAACGAAATTAAACAAACGAGCCATAATTTAAAATAAATTAACCTTAGTTGCATTAAAATTGCACTTCTTGTTTCATAACTGCAATCCATGTTACTGAAATGCGAAGTATTACTCCCACTGATCTAACAATTCTAGCAATCCCATTTTTGCAACATGTCGTTTAAACTCTCCAATAGGTAATGCTTTAGTCAAAGGATCAACTAATATGATGCACTTCAATCACCCATTTCTTGACTTGCTTCTTGACTTTAAGAAACTTCACATCCATTAACCTAGAAGCTGAAGTTATTTTGTTGTTCTTGGCAAAAAAACATTGTTGAATTATTGTCACAATGCATTTTCGCAAGCCTTTGAATTGAACTAACAATTGTCAATTCTGATATGAAATTCTTCAACCAAGTTGATTGTTTCATGCCCTTAAAACATGCTACAAACTCAGCCTCCATAGTAGATGTAGCAATAACAGTTTGTTTTGCACTTTTCCATACTTGTTCTCAGAGATGTTGTTCACATTGATCCCTATGAATACTCTCGAACACAAAATTTAAGTGTTTGCACTAAGGAAAAGTAAAAAAACTTGTGAAAAAGATGCTAAAATGACTAAAATAGCCCTGAACACAACACATGACTTATATTAGATGAAAAACATAATGAAGTTAGGGTGATATGACAAATTAATGATTTCGGAAAGTTGATATGACAAATTGCTTAAAGTTTTAGTTTATATGACAAATTAAAAAATGTATAAAAGTTCATATAACAATTCAAAAAATTTCCTAGAATTCAAAATGGTGCTTAAATGGTTAGAAGAAGAGACAATAGAGAATTCCCTTCACTGCCCCAACATGAACAAATTAAAACCAAGTCATACTGGCTCATCTGTGCTGTCTTCCCTTTTTGAAA